GGGTTTCGACTGGGTAGGAATTGAATGGAGTGGATCTGCTCTATAAGAATCTCCGTATATATATATATATATATATATATATGCAAATCTATGTTACTGCTACATCAGCCTCAAACAGCAAACCAGATTATAAATTTTCTTCCCAGATAAACTACTATTTTAAATAATACTCAATATATTGTATTGTTCAATGTCAAAAACTGAAATGTGAAAGAATAAAGAAGTTTATAACTTAATGTGCACACAAGTGACACAGAAAACAGAAACATTTTATAATCTTTGATCAACAAATAGACTAGATATGATAATTAGATGGCTACAGTAAAGCAAATGGAAATTCATGGAATGTATACTAAATTATCAGGTTCCACTTTATATTCACAATTATATATTTTGATTAATCAGAATGTAAAAAGTAATCTTCCCTGACCAAAATGTGGAGTTAAATTCCTGGCTGTAATCAGTTGACTAGGTTAGTACTCTGGATATACAAATCTAATCAAAAACACCTTAGGTGTGAAAAAAAAGTGCAGCCTAAAAATGATTCAGTGTGTGACTTAAAGGAATGAAATCAAAATTGGTGGCCAAACTGGTATCTACACTTACAGCATTGATAAGAATTTTACAGCAAATATACATTCATTAGTTAGTTAGGTTGTGTATATTATTTTACCCACCATCGTGTCTAAAACTGAACAAAACTTGTGCTAGAAACTGCTAATCTAGTTTGTTTGGCCTAACGAATACTTTATGTATCTGCATGTCGTTTCACCTTATATTTTTGCTGCTCTAAATCAGCCATTTTTAATCTGAATTATAAAACAACTAAAAACAGTTCACTTTTACTCTTAGGTGAAGCTGTAGTAAAAATGTTAGACCAATAGCTCTTGTGACTGTTTGACTAGGCATGCACAAACATTTTCATTAAATTTGAGTGGCTATTGTTCAATAACTTTGCACATGTGGCTTATATTTATACCAAAGTATGTTTTTCTAAAAACTAAAGTTTCCTTACTTTTGGTGTGAAGAAAACAAATAGGAAGAAACTCAATCAAAACTGAATATGTTATATCTCAGGTATTTCTTAATGGATTGCCTTGTAATTTGGTATGGGAAGTAAGAGTCCAGTAGAGTACATCCACTGAAAATATGTGATAGTTTGGATTACCACAGCCTGAGTTACAGAAATTGGGTAATCACCAAACTATCACTCCTGTTAATAACATCACACTGTCCAGTTGTTTTTTTGGCCACAACACACACAACCATGAGAAGCATGTTTTTTCTCAAGCTAAAGCTCATACAGCATCACCCATCAACTTTGGGTCAAACTATGCATCATACTAGGCTATTTAAGGTGCAAACATTAGTTCAACTTTACTACACTCATCTCTCATACCGGGATATCAGGTTTAGATCAGACTATAATTCAAGAGGCTTGTGCTCTTGCCACATAAATAAAACCCAATTTGCAAACCACATGCACAAAATTACTCAATCTAATAAACACAACAGTGCAGCTGGAGAACACCTTATAAGACCTAACTGGATATAATAAATATATATAAGACTGATAATCTTTCTTACTCAATTCATCAAGTTTACTTTCCACAAACCAATAGGTAAACTTACTGTTTTTTTTTTACTTCAGTGTTTCAATGGTTGGCACACTTGAATTCTTTCTTGTTTTTACTTTAAAACAAAATATTGTTTGTTTGTAATTAAGCACAAAGCTACACAAGGGGCTATCTGTGCTTTGCCCACCACGGGTATCGAAACCCAGATTCTAGCGTTGTAAGTCCGCAGACATACCGCTGTGCCACTGGGGGGGCTTAAAACATAATAAGTAAAGCAATAACACCTTAATAATAAAAACCATCATTTAACTAGACCAGACTAAAATAAGAAAGTATAGTACTTCACTTGCCACATTATCTTCCTCTCTAAAAGAATTAAACCCTGTCCCTGAAATCAGTGCTGTAGCATGGGCTAAATGAATAAAATTGTTTGTCAAAACTGAAAGTCCACTAAGAGGGTATAACATAATCTAAATAATTTTGACTGAGTTCCATTAGAGACAAAACTAATCTCAAAAAATTAAGCATCAGAATAAATTTAATAGGTTCTAGAAGAAGTTTAACTGAAACTGTCCATTTCTAAATCAAGGACTTAGAGAGCACACATACAATCTGTACACTTTGGCAACAATATCTAAAAGATATATAAAAAGAAGTATGAGCATCAAACAGAATCTATGATTCTAAGAAGAATTGAAAGGTTAGGTTTCAGAACAATAGAGCATTTGACAACGATTCCCCAAAATGTTGTCACAAATCAGTTTTGCAACACATTTTTTTTTTGCTACTGAAATTACTTACTTAAGATTCAGAGAATCCAAGGTTTATTATTATCTAATTAATAATTAAACAGCAACAGAGAAGCTGCTGCCATACATCACATACTATCCATCAACTGGTAGTAATTCTATTGGTACAAGATAAACAACCACAAAATCTTCTATTTTAGAACTAAAATGAATTTGAAACCAGTAGCTATATAGGAAATACTAAAGTTTTTTGTTGTAAGTTTGCTCTCATGCTATCAACAATCATATGACTTCAGGTTGTAAATGTCCTTGACAAAATGCAGAGCATATGTCAACTTACCCAGAATTCTCCATTCTACCACCTTCCACATGACTTATTGCAATTGCATCAAAAGAATTTATTTAGTTGCAGTTTAGACTGAAAACCATAAATCTCCTGCTTGTGGACAGGTTGGTGGGAATCTATTTCAAATGTAAGAACCTGTTTGAAGTTTATTATAATTCTACAAATGTATAATTCATATTAAGTAGACTTATCTTTGAAATACTAAAAGTCAGAATATCCACAATGTGATGGAAGAGGGAACTGGAGGGAGTCATAAGGATCACTGGGTCACCAAAAATTGAACTAACAGGCAGGAAAGTAACAATGTAGACCACTATGAATGAGATATGTGATCAAGCAGAGTTTCAGTGAATTCAGAACTATGTAAAAGTTAAAGAACTGGGTTCATGGGAGAATTGAATGGAGTGGATCTGCTTCATAAGAATGAACCAAAATGAGGACATTCAGAAAGAGATGCATTCTTCTCAGCATATCTCACTGCTCTAGACACACATAAAATAATAAGAGGATCAGAATATGTTGTAACTGTAATGGAAGATTTTAAGAGGAAGAAACTAGTAATAATTCATAACTGGACATGTTATTGGGGCTAAAGCTCCCTTCATTCTCATTTGAAAAGGCTGGCCAAGCTGTAAAACTGGCCTAGTAAGTGGGCCTAAAAAGAATAAAAAAAAAGAAAATTGGCTAGACCTGAAGATGGGCTTGACAACTCTAGAACAGTGTAAGTGGAACACCAAAATTAGGTTAAAAAAGAATAAAATATAAAGCTATAAAGTATTCAACATCATATGGAGAACAGTCTTCTTGTCTTCAGTGCCTCAAAGGCTAAGCTAAGACATGCATGCGAGGGTGAGAAAGGTACATACTAAGGCATCATCAGTCACAAGATGGCATCTTCTGTTTGCTTCTGAGAGCATTACCTTCTCATGCTGCACTAGCACAAAAGGTGAAACTTTTGTCTAGGACACCTGCAAAGGTATATATGACATACACGAGTCCCAACTGGACAAATTAATTTAAACACAGAGTCCCATAATATAAAGGCAAGACTGGGATGAATTTTTGTTGTTGTTTTTATCAAATGACTGTTCAACCCCAAATGACCCTATAACTGATAAATGGGGGTGGGGCATAGATATACTAGGGTTACCATACATAATGCAGGTGTGAATGCAAGAGGCAACTAAGCAGGTAACAAAGAGCTCCTCACCTGCTAGAGATTCCATTTGGCTTGAAGACTCACAACTGGAGGCAAATGGAATCCCAAAGTTGAATATACCACTACTGGAAATTCAAGCAAATCCTATCTGGAAACTTAAAATATTTCCAGTTTTCACATGGGAATGTTGGCTTTCAGATGAGAATTTTTAATCACGAAATAAAAATCAATTGGTTTAATTATTTATATGATGGGATCAATGAACGTTTCTGCTAAATAATGGTTTAGCTAAAACTAAGCAATAATTTAGAAAAAAATAATATAATTTGTACATGTATTTTCATTTTCATATGAATTAAAATATATTTACAGTTTTTTTATTTTTCAAAATAATATAATTTGTGCATGTAGTTTCATCTTCATATGAATTAAGATATATTATGCAGTTTTTGTATTTTTCAAAACAGATATTGAACTTAATTAAAAATAATTTAACTTATTTTAACACAAAAACTCTTTTCAT